AGTACGTTGAACGTAGTAGTAGTAGTAGTAGTAGTAGTAGTAGTAGTAGTAGTAGTAGTAGTAGAGTAGAGTAGAGTAGTAGAGAGTAGAGAGTGAGAGAGAGAGAGAGAGAGAGAGAGAGAGAGAGAGAGGACATACATCCGGATGAAGATGAAGATTGTGAATAGGTCTCAAGCTGCTTGGTGTAATTGTTAATGGCTCCGGCAACACACCTGTCTTTAGCACCATCTTCATCCTTGCAGTCCCCTACCAACATCTTTTTCATTATTTTGCAACTATTTGTGGTCTTGTGCATTTGGATGGCAATGGGACAGGCGGCCTGTCTCAGCCTATCCCGGTTGGCCCGGCCCATAAGACTTGGGACACAAACTGTGTCCTAGGGGCCATGACAGGGACAGGGCCAGTGCGAGCGTGGTTTGGCCCAACCCACTTTTTCTCTTAATTTTTTTAGTAAAATTATTGCTAATATACCTAAATTTTAATAAAATCGTAAAAAAAAAACCCCAACTTCCCAAAACTTCATCCACACTTTTTTTTTCCAAATTTCAGCTTTTTTTGGACGAAAATACCATTTATAATAATCTTTCTACCATAATACATTTTGATCTTTACGGTAATTTAAATACCGTTACAAATAGAGATAGAATTACTGTATATAAAATACTGTAATAATATGAAGTTATATTACAGTACTTCAAGTAACGTAATAACTAATCTTCTTTTTACAGTAATGTTAATACCGTTATTGTTTGAATTATTACAGTAATTAAATTACCGTAATGTGTGGTGAAGTCCTTACGGTATTTTTGAAAAGCTTCAAACCAAAGCTAATATCAGGGTTACCCCCCTCTTCCCTGTCTCCCCGTAATTATCTACACTAATCCAAATAAACCTTGCAATAGGAAAACCCGAACATAAATCCTATGAAACGAAATACTATCATCCAAATATGGAGAAATTTAAAGCAAAAACCATGTATATCTCCTATTATCTAGATTTAAGACTGAAGGTGTATAAGACATGATTAAGAGGAAGGGAAACAATGAGAAAGGTCACGTGAAATTTTCAAAACAAAAGAAGGAAAGAGGTAAACCTTATATTACATTCGGTTTGAAGCTTTTCAGCTTATTACGGTAATAAGAATATCGTAAGGACTTCACCATACATTAACAAACAATTACGGTATTAACAATACCGTAATATAACTTCATACTATTAAGGTATTTTATATACCGTAATACTATCTCAATTTGTAACGAAATTTAAATTACCATAAAGATCAAAATGTATTACGGTAGAAAGATTACCGTAAAAGGTATTTTCGTCCAAAAAAACCGAAAAATGGGAAAAAGAGTGTGGGCGAGGTTTTGGAAAATTGGGAGTTTTTTTACGATTTTATTAAAATTTAGGTATATTAACAATAATTTCCCTTTTATTATTATTTCTTCTCCATTTATTTTTGGCCCAGCCTGAGACCTAAGACTAGGTCAGCACTATGGAGATAATGGCCACTAGACATAGCCCAAGTCCAGCCCTTTGCCACTAGAATTGTTTAGCATGTCTAAAGTCTAAACGACTAATTCAGAACCTTTACATAAAAATTCAAATAGAGAGCGAAAATTCGTTCACCTAAGGGTACATTGGATTTAGATTTTCAGGAGTCACTTTTTCTGGAAAAGATGGGCCAATCGTGTTTGGTTCACTTGGAATTGAGATTTCCATAGGATTTCTGAATGCTTATTTTAAGCCTAAATTTGGAATTGACATTTCATGGAAATGATCCATTTTGCTACTGAAGAACAAATTTTTTAAAAAAAATTCAAGGAGAAAAAGGTATTAAAATTTTAGAGAGGGAAACTATGTCAAATTTTAGAGAGAGAAAGGATACGCAATTTTTTAGAAAGGGAAAGTATACCAATTTTTTAATGAGAGAACTATCTCAAATTTCTAGAGAGATAAACTATCTCAAATTTAAATTTTTAGGGAGACCATATTAAAATTTTAGAGAGAGAAACTATCTCAAATATTAAATGTTAGAGAGAGAGAGTATCTTAAAATTTTAGAGAGAGAAACTACATTAAATTTTACAGATAGGAACTACTTAAAATTTTTAGAGATAAATATCTCAAAACATTTAGAGAGAGAAATTACCTCAAATTTTAAGTTTTAGAGAGATATTAGAAACTATATCAAATTGTAGATGGAAATACTACCAGAAAATTTTTATAGAAATAAACTATCTCAAATTTTAAGTTTTAGAGAGAGAAAATATCTTAAAAATTTAGAAAGAGAGAGAGAAAATATATCAAATTTTAGATACATAAAGTACTTGTAATATTTAGAGAGATAAACTATTTTAAAAATTTTCGATAGAGAAACTATCTCAAATTTCAATTTTTAGAGGGAGAAAAATATCTTAAAACTTTAGAGAGAGAAACTATATCAAATTTTGAAATATTTAGAGATAGAAACTATTTAAAAATTTTAAATAGAGAAACTATATCAAATGTTAGATAAAGAAAATACCTAAAATTTATAGAGAGATAAACTATCTCAAATTTTAAGTTTTAGAGAGAGAAAGCACATTAAAATTTTTGAGAAAGAAACTACTTTAGAGAGACAAATCATCTCAAAATTTAAGTTTTAGAGAGAGAAAGCATCTTAAAATTTTAGAGAGAGTAACTATATCAAATTTTAGAGTGAAAAAGTACCTAAAATTTCTTAGAGAGAGAAACTATCTTAAAATTTTTGGAAAAAAACTATCTCAAATTTTAAGTTTTAGACAGAAAAGGTACCTTAAAATTTTAGAGAGAAAATATATCATATTTTGGAGAGAGAAACTACCTGAAATTGTTCAGAAAGAGAAACTATCTGAAATTGTATAGAGAGAAACTATCTCAAAATTTTTATAGAGAGAAACTATATTAAATTTTAAGTTTTGGAGAGAGAAAGTATCTCAAAATTTTAGAGAAATAAACTATATCATATTTTGGAGAGAGAAAGTATATAAATTTTTTAGAGAGATAAACTATCTCAAAATTTTTAGAGAGATAAACTATTTCCAATTTTAAGTTTTTGAAAGAGAGATTATTAAAATTTTAGAAAAAAAAAATTAGAGAATGAAACTATCTCAAAAATTTTGAAGAGAGAGATGGAGAGAATTTGCATTCCAAAAAAAAAATATTCCAGACCATCCAAAGAGAGAATTTGCATTTTCTTGATTACTACCATATGCGATCCAAACTGAGAATTGATATTCCCAAGAAAACTCAATTTTGCAGGATTGAAAATATCCGGGATCCAAACGGCCCTAAATGCAATGTTAAGGAGATAACGCCTAGATGGGGAGGAATTTGTAGTGTTTACGCCATTTTTGGCAACTGTGTCATGACCAAATCCAATGGGAACATTCATTTTGCTAGGGATTGTAAGGGCAGGCACATGGATGGAAATATATTGTATGATGAAATACTTTATTTTTGGATGTAACTAAAGACAAATTATCTCCAATTTTGAGGATTATAAATGTAATCTCTAATCTCCAAATTTTAAAAATCCAATCTTGAAAGAAAAAAAAACACCGTTCTTTTGACCTTAATGAGATTGTAATTAGACATTGCTAAAAAGGAGTGGCACCCAACAAGAGTGGGCATAAAAGAAAAAGTAAAAAAAATATTACATGCACCTCAAACAGCCACGTAAAAAAGCTATTCCAAGGTAAAAAATTCCTAAAATTAATCGCATTGATCTCGAGATGTATGAATATAACAGAGAAATAGATTTCAAGTCATAAATATAGTACATCTGGTAATATATTATATAAAACATGAGTTCCAACATTTTCAAGTGCATATATAGATATGCTTGATAGGCATCATATTTGGAACTATTTCATAATTTGGGGTCAAAATATCTTACACCATAACGATATTTTCATGCAGAAGTTTCAGGTACACCTTATTTCTATAGTATAAAGTTGACACCTAATAGTACAACATTATTGTGTGTGACCTTGAGAGAATCAATAAAATACATGTTCAATTCGGGTAATTCAATAAAAAAGTATACATAGAAACTATTTACTCTTGGTACAAAAAAATCACAATCACTCATCTCCATCTCATTTCAAAATAGGGTGATTGTGAACATGTCATTAACTAGGTTAAAAATCCAAAGAAAAAATTCTCAAATTTTGGACACAACTCAAGCTGTTAAATTTGAGATCATGTAGGTAGAGATATATGTGACGTTTATGTAACAAAGGGACTCTTACTATACAACCCATTTACCTAATTATCAAAGGAAAAGTATATGATAAGACCATTTAACTTTGTTATAAGATGGTCACAATCAATCTTGACTATTAGATGTAAAATTTGGTAGCTGCATTTATTTCATTGGCCAAGCTCAAAGTTCAAAAGATTTTTTTTCGAACTTTGTTACACACATAAGCTATCGGATTTTATATCAGATGGTTGTAAATAATTGTGAGCTCCATATATCAAAAGTAAGTGGTCTAACTGTATACAATCCCATTATCAAAACATCAGCTATTCAAACTCATAAATCATAATTATACATCATAGTTATACATTTTTTTTATGGTATTTTTTAAATTAAATAGAAGAAATAAATAAAATGTTAAATAGGTCATGACTGTCTTGGGTCTTTCTTCATAAATTTCTATAAAAGAATGAAGTTATATGAACCACACTGTTTCGACGCTCCATGCTTCATATTGTACAATCAGGCGTTAGTATATATTTTTTCTCTTCAAAAAATTGTACAATCAGGCGTTAGTATATATTTTTTCTCTTCAAAAAATCATGTTTGTGCTTACAACTGAACATGACTTAACTCTATTTCTGAACTTCTGTTATTATTCTTTGAAAAAATTGCAATTTGCGAGCGAAAGACGTGTGCTCTAGTGGCTCATGATTTAAAGTAAAAATGAATGGAAAAAGTTTATATAGAGCCTAGGCTCTAAACAATCAAATTAGAGCCCACCTCAAGAATTTCACTAGAGAGATTGTTTTGATGCCCAAATATCCTCGAGTTGGTCATCTTGACATCCAGATACATGGATATGAAAAAAAAATGGATTTTAAGTTTTGGAAATAGTACATCTTGTAACGCCTTTTTTGACCATCAATTTTTAAGTTTTTAGATATATTCAATCTACACTTTCTAATTAAAAATAAAATTATATTTTAAGTCTATCACGAAAATTTCCAGTATTGAAAACGCATTTTTCGACAATATTTGAAGGTACGTATTACTTTGATTGTTTAGAGCCTCAGCTCTCGACAAGCCACACCCAATACGAATACATGTGATTAGTCCATTTAAACGGGCCCTTAAGATCTAGTGTATTTTTTCCCTGATGTTTCCCTTAAAAGCTAGTGGAGATAGAGAAACTGTTTGCAAAACCAGGTCAACCCGGACCCGGTCGGGTAAATCAGAACCGACCATTGGCTATGGCTGGCTAGGGTTGTCAACCGGCTTGACCACCTTAACTTTAAAAAAACAAATTCAAAAAAATAATAAATCTAAAAAATAAGAATTTATATGTAATAGGTTTTTTAATGTTTTTTATAATATTAGAAAATATTGGGAAGTATTTTGGCTATAAATATTTATTTTATATTTTTTCATCTTTTTTAGATTATTTCTAAGTTTCCCCTTTCTAAAATATCCTTGTGCACCAATTATTTTTTCCAAAATCCATTTTTTCACTACATTTTTATCTCATTTGGACGTGTTTTATTTAATTATATTTTAAACATAATTTTCATATTTTTTAAGATTTTTTGAGATATCTTTTAAATTTTTTTTAACCCTTTTTAAGGAGTCGAGACCTGCTAGGGCAGGTTACCTGGACGGTTCCGGGCTACTCAAACCCAGCCCATGGCCGGGTTCCAGGCCATTCAGACCCAGCCTATGGCCGAGTTCTGAGGGCGGATGCAGCAATTGAACACTGAGAGAGAGAGAGAGAGAGAGAGAGAGAGAGAGAGAGAGACGACGCACTAGAGTACTGGTAGTTGCACAAGGAGTCAGGAGTATCAATGTAATGGAGGGGTCTGGACCAGTGGAATATAAATTTGACTTGATCAGCCCATGAGCATACACTCCCTAGATCATTCCCTGCGTATTCAGGCAGCAACTCCTCCACTGCTTTTCCTGCATTTTCACTCAAACGAGACTGCAAACATACAAATAATAATGAAAACTTATCATATTTCTCTATGATCCACTAAAAATAAAACTGTACAAAAGAAATTGATCCATTCTCAACCAAGATTGCCAATTTTTAAATATATGAAGAAAAATTCCTGAGGGAAACACTAAAACCAAGTAAAAAATAAAAAAAAAACATTGCTAGATTTGGAAACTGATAAAGGCCCCAATAACAATTAGCTCAATAAAATCAAATGAATACAAATAAAGGCTTGGACCTATTGATATAAAGCTTGAAAGAGAGAGGGAGAAATCCCAAACAAATTAAAAACTATAAAACCCAACTTTACTACTCCAGGATTGTAGAAAACATGAAAAAAACCTATAATCAAGAACATAGGGAGAGAGAGAAACAGACATGAAGCTTTATAATCAACATGGGTCTATAAAGAAGAACCCATAAATAATATGCATGTACATATGGATAATGCTGGCATACGCTTTTTAGCTTATAGCTACATATGATCCAACAGTTTAAATTGAATCTGAGCATATCCAATGATCATGATTACTGAGAAAGATGAAAAAAAAAAAAGAGAACCTGGGCTATCTTGCAGATGATGGCATGGCCATCTTTACCCCAGCTATGGCCGGCTGGAAGCAGTATTGCTACAAGAAAAAATAGAATCGAAATTCTGAATCTCATATCCATTTTCATCAAAAACAAGAGAGAGAAGAAAAAGGAAATGAGAAAGACTAAAAATGGTGTGAAGAGGAACATGAATCAATGGGTTGCTTTTATCGAGTCGAGGCCCACCAAATGAATGAATGCTAGCCTGGATTTTCGTTGGTTACGTCGACTATTTTTATTCCTAAAATACCCTCTATACATTTTTTAAAAAATAGATCTCCTCAATCTAAATACTGATATTTTTCTTCTTTTTCGTTTCCTTAATAATGACATATTAAAAAGGAAAGCGTATTTAATCATACAATCAATATGTTATAAATGGAGAAAATTGCATAAAAGGATTGGTGGTGTAATAAATTCATTTTCCTGTGTAACAGGCCAGTAGATTCTAGATGGCCTTCTGCTTGCCCAATAGTTGGAATTGAGGTATAGGGGAATGTAGCACAGG